TACGACTGTGAGAAAATAAAATAAAACTCTATTTTATCGATTACCACAGATTCGTATAATTAACTTAGTACAAAAAGTGTAAGACATAAGAAGGAAACCATTAAATGACATCAAAAGGCAATTAAAGGAGAGATTATGAAGCCTGAAATCGCTTCAAACCTACGAAAGACATTTCACTTATCCCTAGCAACAAATAACGTCTTAACTGTAGCAGTTTCCTGTAAATAAGTCTATTTTATCTGTTTCGGTTAGATATCAAGTTGAAGAAAAACGTCCTTTCATGCAAATAAGCCAGACGCCCATACTCCCACTGAAAAGAATAGAACGTTCTTACAACGAAAAGATTACCAATTAATGATTCTCTTTTCTACAAGTTCCAATCTCTTGGAAAAAGAATCGATACGAAATAAATATTATATGGTGCTCTATAAAATCGGTGATTCACTGGTTCTTTGTAACGAAATAATAGCATGAATAGCCGTGACATGTCTTTGGTTGGAGTGAAGTGCAACACGCCAAAAATGTATTAACAAAGCAAGAATAAAATCGCGATAAGACTACAATAGGGTGGCTTATCATTGGAAGCACTTTAGGGGTAAAAATGACCAGATAAATTTAAGGATATGAGTTCAATTCTGAAGTGAATAGTCCCATACAAAAAATCAAAAATTAATATTTTCACAGGGTGAGTAAAAATAACATCTAGGTCATGCTAAAAGGATTGTCAGCTCCTAATTTAATAAATTATTTTCTATCAGATTCAGAATTAGTGGCAAATTTAGTTACAAGTAGTTCAGCAGGTTGAGAAGTGGTCACTTCTTATCAATTGATACATATTATGACAGTTCAGGTTTCGAAATGGCCACTTCCCAACCCGAAAACTGATAAGGAAGTAACCACTTCACAACCTAAACTGTCACCAGCCATGATTTTCAAAATTTGATAAATGTTTAATCAGCTTTCTGTGCTTCACGCACTGCTATAAATTTCGCGCCCTTAACTAAAAGTAGCTAACTTTGAAGTTCAACTTCACACATGATTGTAGAAAAAATACTTTTATTACATTCGTATGATAAACTATACAAACAGGAATTTTATAAATGCATGATGTATGATGTAGATGCACTTTTTAAAAATTATGATACCTCTTATCTCGTGGAATGAACTTAAACTATATTTACACATTTTATCGTCTGTTGGTGTGATAAAACGAAATTTCAATTTACCGAATTTATTGCACATTGTGCAATTTTAGTAAAGCATTAATTAAATTTCGCATTAACGGCACAATACAAGCAGAATGTCACGCCACATGGACATTAACAATTACCTCCGAAAGTTTACTGCTGGATAATTAGTGAATTTCACCAAAAAACGTCTTAGTTTTTTGAGGTAAACATATGTTCGGAGCTATGTCACATCACTAATCGAGAGAGCAGAAGCCAGGTGCTACCCAGTATAATTCTTAAACCATCAAGCCTGCTACCGCATAACATCTGGTTCCTATTTGATTCTTAAAATTTATCCCCACTTTTCCCTCGCGAACTCCAAAAGGTCGATTGTGTACACCACCAAAGTTTAAGAGTAAACAAAAGAACTCTTCCAGTTAGGACTACGTAATATATTTATAGTTAAAATGAAGACCTAAACCCCGAAATTTAATGTGAAAGGAAGTATTTGCCCGGCCAAACTTCGCCACTAAAAATAAATTTTTAATGGCGCCTTAACGAAATTTTCATACAATGCTGAGCATAGCATTACGCCTGATTACTCGAAAAGTAACAATTTACCACTTGAAATTCCAAATAAACATCTTATTAAATTTTGCGATGGGAAAACGTGACGAAGGAAAATGGTTTTGTGAAAGTCGTTTCTAAAACAGAAGACAATTTTCTAGTAGGAAAGGTAAAAAACACAAAATGGAATTGTTTCAAAAAATAACTTCTAAAATAAATCCAAGAATAAAAAATCGGACCAAAACTCCATTTAGAGGAATCGAGTTTCACATAATACTAATTAAACGTCATATGCAGATTAATGACTCAAAGTTAACCTCGATATTAAATAATTAACACTGCAGTCATTAATAGATGAAAGCTGATAGCTTCTCAGATCTATCAGAATAAAATAGCCTAGAGGTAAACAGGTGTTCGGTAAGTATTTAAACGTCCACGTCGAATACATTTGCCATAACGATCACAAAAGAATTTATTATTACATTCTAATGTAAACAGGTAGTTATTATTAAAATATTTTTTTTTAAACAAATTTAATTTTTTTTTTTCAATAAAACGTGAAATTGCAAGGTTTCCCCATACGAGTATACGAAGCCCGGACCTGTCCGTATGAATAAAACGTATTTTGTATTCATTGCTATCGTCCTTTAACTCTGACATCCGTCATTCCCTGACCATTGTGCTTGCATAATGGCCGGCTTTTGAGTCTTGTTTACCGCCTCCATTTTACATTAACTATGTTATTCACCGATGGAACCCGGCCTCCAGCAGGCGTTTTATATGTTCGCTTATTAAGTAACTTGAACTGAGAGAAAAAAATCACTCATAGTCAAGACTGATTTGCATTTGAATGTGCAGAAAACAAAATGAGCAGCAAAAGTTTTTCTTACAGTCGAAGAATTATTAAAACTTGGAAGAAAAATAAAAGATTCTGTCTTTATTAACCGTATTAACAGAAAACGTGTAATGGGCTAACAAGAATACGAGTCGGGGAAGTTAACAGATTATCATAATCGACTAAATGATTACTCAAATATTGATTATTAATCTTCTACGATTCACTGATTGGTAAATTAATTAGAATGTACTTACCACAAATCACATAATAGCACAAATCCTGTTTCCATCAAACTCGCTGCTCATTAAGCTAATAAAGAATTCCAACTAACTCCCGATGGAAAATAAAGAAAACCACTAACACCGTTTCTAAATAAACCATGATTTATGTTCTTATGTTATTCTTATTACTTTCTACCCATTTTCATAATAATCAATGTTTTAATAGCATACCGCTGCATTAAAAAAATTAAGTCTCTTGGCCCCAATAAAACCTTTACTGCTTCTGTTTGTGTTAAAATTAGTTCACCTATTACAAGCAATTAAAATTCAGTAGCAGAATATTTATTCCCTATTGCAGTATGCTAATTCATATAGTGTTATTCAAACTTCAAAGTGTCGCACCCAATAGTGCTCTATTTACCTATGGATATTTCAATATCTGGGAATAAAGCTTCGTTGCCTACATTACCTTCAATGGCTTGATATCACGTACTATAGTGAGTGAAGAATTACACAATCCCTACTTTACTCAATTTGCCATAGCTTAATTAGCCACATTGTAGGTAATTGTTAATTAGAAAACTGGCTTCAATGGTATTATATGTACACTAAATACAATGACAAAAAAGGACAAAAAGTAACAAACAAATTAGAACCATGTACTTTTAATATAAAGATACACCCTTTCAAAAAAAGTTATAATAAGACCTTATTATTTCATCCAGGTTTCCCGCCACGTAAACAAATCCTTTTATGAGATAAAAACAATTTACAATAACAATGCCACACAAAAAAATATTAAAAAAACAGACAGCATATGGGAAGCCGAAAATTCCCACATGTTCCCATCACATTTTAAATAACCGACAAACGTCCGACCAAAAAATTTCAAAAAAATGAGTTACAGTTTAAGAAGAAAAATAATACTATTTTTAGTCAAATAAACACATATTTTTATTAACATAAAAAGTCACCTTTACAGTCAACGTCTGCAAACAAATTATTAACTATAAAAATAAAAATGATAGATATCGTATTTTCCATAAATGTAAGTGTTAATACCTATACGCGTACAGCAAAAAATATCGATAAATCAGCCTGTGGATAATAATTCCCAGACCTAATAAAGACATTAATTTGTGGGGAAATAAGATAGGTTTGAGAATAAATTGTTAGCATGTACATTAAAATATATTACTGTTGTAATAAATTTACATGCAAATAATGTGTTACAGTTGTATCATAATCATTTGTAATAACAACAAATTACATTCCAAAGAATGTATTATTAATAAAAGTGTGCCACCAAAATAAATTTTACTATTTGTTGTATGTATTATTAGTATAGATACAATCAATTTTTGAAAAAAATGAGTCATTTATAAATCACTTTGGAGTAGCTAACTAAAGTCTTATTTAACTTAGTTAATTGTCTATGCACCTAATATTTAAACACTTCACTGAACCGAAAAAATGTAAACAAGATTTACTTTTACCTCGACTTTTACACTTTTACTTCTTACATTAGATATTGGTTTGAGACCATTGACCTTTATGTATGTTTTATTGTGCTCCTTGAGTTCATTCAATTCAATAACTAGTCTTACAACCAACCACAAGATTGTATGAGTCATTAGGCGTAATAAGAAAAAACCTGAAAAATTCAGCTATTGTTCCCCTTTCAGTATCTTTTCAAGACCTTTTCAAAGAGTAACACTTTGGAAATGTAATACAAAAAATAAAATAAAATAAACAATACAAAATAAATCGTACATCTTACTGTTCTTCCACCGTTATGTAACTCCAAGAGTGTAAGTATTTATTACCAAGTTTGTATCAATTTGACCGTTAGGTTTATCTTGTGACATCCAGGATAAATCCGTTTCATCAATGAATGAATGGAATGATAAACAAGTAGAAAATTATGTTTACAATTCCTTTATGACAGCCGAAACATAAATAGTGATCAAGAATTCTCCCTATTCTCTTAGGGGACGAAGTAAAAAATGAGACTTGAGGTCAAATAAAAATGTGATACGTACCATGTGTAACGTGTTGGTGTTAAATCGTCAGACGTTCAAGATGTGTTATGACTTTCAATCAAATAAAGCTGGACTTTGTGTCCCTGACAATTTTCTTAAGAACTTCCGCTCTTTACCAAACAATACATCACCAGAAGAAAAATAAATGATGAACAGGACTTACAACAATCAGATTAGTAGCATATCCCATTAAAAAACTTCATCCCTTGACTGCATCATAACAATGGTCGTAAGGGTGTTATAAGAAGCCTTCCGGCGTTCGCACTTTGCTAACTTAACAGAATTATAACTGAGAGACGCACACGCGTACATAAAGAGTACTTCTTCATTTAAAAAGATCCATGTTTTCTTTTAGGAAACATAAACACAAATACATGAGCATATTGACATCACGAAACGCGCTTGCCCGACAACAGCACAGCACAACTTCTGCGTGGTGCTACGAACTGCGCTGGTTGAGGACTTCTTCTGAGGTTTGCGCCATCTGGGAGATGGGGCCTGCACTGGGCAAGGACTCTCAACAGTTTACTCCACGTTCCACGAAGTGTTTGCGTGGGGGCCTTTTCCCAAAGTTGAAAGGCCTCTTCGACATTTCCATACATTTGATAATACCATTATATTTATTATAGAAATACGTTCTTAGTTTGTTTTTTTTTTTAATTATATGATGTAGTTATCCTTTGGAGAGCTTATTAAAAACTCACTTCTTAGGCAAACCGCATTTTTATACATATGTGAAAAAAATACCTATCTTACTGAAAATTATATAAAATTGCCCTGTTTATCGTGAGTAGGTATTGAAACCAAGAGCAATATACCTATTTCACAATGCAAAACCGACATAAAGTATACCATCTTTAAAAAAGATTTAACCTTTTATTTAAAAATATTAATAAAAAAGAATCAAAAATAGGCTTTTTGAAAATCAAAGGAAACACAAAACAATAAAAAATTTCATCGTTTTTATTTTAAAAAATATAAAATACAAAGTATAGGGAATTTTTTTAGATTTGTTTAGATGTTTATAAGAATTATCGTATTTTACTTCCAGCGACAATCTGTTTAAACACCATTTGGTATATTTATACCAAATAATAATTTAATTATTTAATTAACAGTCTAAAATAATACACAAACAAAAGTTTATACGTTATAATGCAAAAACTACATATAATAACATAAAATATATATAATTAAAAGATCTAAACATAAAGTAAATGTATAAAAATAAACAGCCTTTTCAAAAACAAATGGCACTTGGAAAACTATTTAGATACTGCCGAGACACTTCTCTTATACTGTTTTTTTGTCGCTTTGGCTAAAAAATATAATATTAACCCAAAACATTGGATAAAGATCTACACTCACGCTCCACTCTACAAACTTCCACAGAAGCTCCAATATCACACAAATAATTTAGCCACAACTTCTGTTTAATTGACAGTTTATCATTTTCACCTTTAACTTCCACGAATTTCGCCTTTCCCTCGTCAACATTCCACACAATCAAATCGGGAAACCCACTATGGTATATTTTAAAATTTTTAGCCAATCTTTCAAAAATTTTAGCGACCACAGGCCGCCCTATACACATTATCACATCGAAAATATAAACAGGCTTAGACACTTCAGCCTGCATCAAGGAACTTTCGTGGGAATGTAGGTCCCAAGCCTGATTCAACTTCGTCCTTAATTCAATGTTCTTCCACTTGTCCCGAATTTCATCCAGTCGCTTTTGAATCCAACGTTCTCTGTTTTTGTAAAAATAAGGCGAGTACATGTCTAGCGGGGCATTTTGTAAGTTAGAAACGAATGTCCCGCGAACGTATTTCTCATAAATGATGTCCCAAAATAACAGACAGAACGCCCCAATCATCAAACTACCCTCACAGTGTAACCCGCTAGGAAACCCCATCGTTTCGTAATGCTTCAAAGCCATCTGCTCAACAGTCAAATACTCAACATCACCATTGGCGCAGCGATAAACATATTTCCTCTTTTGACCAGATTCTTGGCTGTAACCAAAATTATAATTTACGACGGTAACAGCAAAAATAGTTCCTACCTTTTGAGAGATTTGCAATACAAAACCTTTTGGGGCCAATCACGGTCGCATGAACGCGGCGATAAAGCAGCAATTTCGTCGTGGTATAATGGCGGCAAATTGTAGCTTTTCCTATTTGTAAGTTTACCTCTATGTGCGAGCTCTTGCAATTGGATGTCCGTCAAAAACTCTTTCTCTTCTTTAAAAGCTTTTATTATTAATTTTGCCGCCTAGAAATTTCTCTCAAAACAAAGTTCGATAACAACCAAACATTACCTTTTCATAATCTTTGAAATATTCAGTATAAATCAATGATAACTCGCAATACCAATCACCACGTTTGTGTTTGCAAAACTGTTGCGAAATTAAGTATTCAAGCCAAATTTTAACGTCTTGAAAGTTGGAGCGTTTTAGGTGTTTTAGACCTTTTGTTATAATGCGAATGTATTGAGCGTTTGGAGTAAACCGTTCCAAATGTGGTTCTCTAATACTATTACTAAAATAAGACGGTTTCGATTTATTTATTTAATTTAAGCAGAAACTTACTTATCATCCTCGTTTGCTTGTTTCAACAAGTTAAAGGCTCTTTGGCAAAGTACTAAAATATTTGGATTGTTCTTTTTCTCAATAGCTTCTTCTAACTCTCTATTTAAGTCAACAGCATTAGCGTACCTAAAATAATCTTAAAATTAATTCACTTCAAATCTAAAGTTACTCGCATACTTTGAGAAATCCTGTGGAGTATAAAAAATATGAAAAGTTTCAACTTTGCAGGAGGGAAAAACAGTGTTAAAATATGTAACATTTTTAAAGTAATCTTGTGGTACAGTCAGACTCGAATTAGTGAATGTATTTAACAGAAAAACGTAACGTAAACATCTATTGAGATTTGTAGAAAGTTTAATACAATATCCCATTCGCTCTTTAATCCGTTCTCGAAGAACGTCTTCTGTGGTTTTTGCACAAGTGAGCGTAACTTGCGTTTTACAATTTTTCACTAATTTCGCAATAAGGACATCTTTAGGCCCAGGAGTGGGTAGTCTAAACTGGGTTAAAATATATCGCAAATCCTGCAACCTCAATAAACTTAACAGCGTAACTGTATCTTCAGCCATATAATCTGTATCGACAAAGCCTTTTTCTTTCAAGTGTTCATACATAACATACACATTTTTCTCGTTCATGTTTAGCCCAATTTGATCAACGTATGTAAAAATATTGTACCATAGAGGCTTCCACAAAAACAATTTTACACACGTATATTGGTAGTCCTTCTCCATGTTATAAAAATTATAAAGCATGTTTTGATCGCTCTGACTCAGCAAACATCTCAAGTGGTTATATTTTAAAACGTTGATAAAAAACTCTCTCATAACTTTTAATATCTCATAATTGACTTTTTTGCTTTCGTCTTTAACTCCTGGCTTTGGTGTATTTTTCACGGAAGAGACAATTACCTTATTTTCTATAACACAGATTTTACTTGTACTAGGAGTGTTTGCTGTACTATTTTCGTTAAAAAGTCGTTTTTTTGGTGTTTGCTTTGGAGATACATTTTTGATGGGTGAGGTGCTTGCAGTACTAAGATTCTGGGAAGGCGGTGTAAGAACGTGTCTTGTTGAGGAGTTTAGAGGAGTTGAAGTCCCAATATTCTGACTTGAATAGGCGACAGAAGTGGGTTTATTTAAAGATAATGGAACTGTTACTGTTACTGTTACCGCTGGAGTTCCTAAAAATACTTAAGTTAAAGATAAAATTTTCAATACACAGTTTTATAATGCAAAACCGTTATTACCATGAAAGTCATTTTTTAATCGTTTATAAGTCAAAGATACAGTTGGAGACAAAATACTTTGGTCGTCAATGTCACTTGAGTGACATTAAATTGTAAAGTATGCTTTAGGACTGTTAACCTTATTTTTAGCTACTGTCAATCACAGTTGACAAGCCACAGTCGTAAAATAGACTATTTTTTTTTGTTTTAGTCTAATTTTTGTGGTCATAGCTATAAGAAAGTAAGCTTCATTAATTAAGAAAGCTATGATCTTAGTGTCTAGAAATTACATTTATACAATTTATAATTTGTCAACATCATTCTTATTAATAAACTCGATAAATAACTCCTGCATAAAAAGAAACAAGAATTTAGTAATGACAAATAACTTCCCGCCAAAATTTGACATTACTACAATCATCCAAAGCAAATAATGTTATAGAATTGTTGATTTTATCTTGATCATTTAGTTGAATAATTGTAAAAGGGTGTTGTCATGATAACAATTTATTGTTTTACTTGTTTTTCAACATGCAGAATGATTTAAAAACTCACCATTATTTTCCTTTGATAGACTTTGCCTTTGATCACTTTCAATATCGTCTTCATCATCTGAGTTAATTGCTACTTTTAATTTTCTTTTCGAAATTCCAGCAAATGTACTATGTGCTTTACTTGGTGTATTTGAAACGGACTCTGTTGAAAAATCTCTTGAAGTTCCAGACATTGTTCGACGGAAACGTTTTCTCTTAAATGGAGAGTCAGTTGGAATTCTCTTTACACATCCTGTGAAATATGAACTGATTTTTGTTTGACTGAGTCTTTTTTCTGGTGAAAACTCAGACATTGTTTTTTCACCGGAGCACTATAAACATTATTATTTCATCAAGGTTTCAAGTTTGAAGGTTAGAAACTTCGAACTTCGAACCACAGAACAACTACAAAACTTCGAACACCTTCGGAGCACTGATTCGGAGCGACACAGAATCAGTGACAGAACCACAGAGAGTGACAGAGATAAGACAACACAAAAGTGACAAAAGCGCATGTACCGTTACGGAATTAAAATTTCGGGCAGTATTTTTCTGTCACTTCAAAAAGTTCACTGTAAACTACCTTTTACTGCTGACCTTTGATAATTAAACTTTTCTGTCAGTAACGTTATTTTATAAATCAAAATGACATAAACATGACAAGAGTAGAAAATGAGGTTATTAATGTAAAGGTTGTTTTAGAGTTACATTGTGAAAATGACAGTACTGCCCGAAATTTTAATTCCGCAACTGTACAAGCACTTCAGTCACAGACTAATCTGTGTGCTTCAGTTTTCAGATGGCGCTAAATAAGCGCCAAGCTCTAAATATTCTAATCAACTGATTTGTATAAAAAAAAGAAATAAATGATAAATATGTACAATTCCGGCCACAAAATTCTGGACGATTTCCATGATTCGATTGGCATAAAAATATAGGTGTTCTGTTTTTATTGTTACAAATTTCACACAATGAATGTGCACAATAAAAATAGTTTCACAAGGTAAAAAAAAGATTTTTACAAATTTAATAAATCTCAGATTTCTTCAAATTTTACAATCACCATAACTTTTTATGATAATATGTGATTAAAATTTAAGCAAGCTTTTATTATTATTAAATTATGAAACACAGAGAATGTATCGTTACTCCTTTAAAAAAAGTAAGAATTTTGCAAGGTACTTATAATACATAAATAAGAAACAATTGCGATCTACTAGTTCTTGTACCTACTTTAGTGTACCTACGATATATATTCTCAATTCAAAAGTTATTTTTATTTAGAAATTTACGTCTTACCTTTTTTGAAAATTTAAAACTCATGAAAAACTATAAAGAAACCTTCAAACTAAAAGTCGATACCCCAAAGAGTTCTTACCTATACTTTTAAAATCTGTGCTTTTAAATACCTCCTTGTGCAAGACATCATTATTACAGTTGATCTGTCTGTTGCTAATAATAGCTGGTATTTACCAGCTATTATCGTCGTTATCATTTGATAACGACGATAATATCATAAGGACAATATCAGCTTAACTTTCTTATTATTATAGTTTTCTAATGGGTTTTTACTGAAATCAGAACTAATATGTATAAACATTCGAAATTGTAGTTTTATAAAAATGAATTAATAAATTTTAAGTACTTCTCTTTGTTATTATTATTTTATTTGTGTACAATTTAATGAATTTATTTGTAAGATTTTTAAATTTTGTTAGTGTATTTTTTAATATCCAAAAAAATAAATAAAGCGTTTATAATTCAGAAGCATTATTAAATCATTTATACATATAAATAAAATTAAAACGATGTTGAAATTCGATTACTTAGGAATTCGGCCACGAGCGTCAATCAAAAGTTCGATTGGACCGTATTTCAGACGCATAAAGCAACCTAACCTAAACATTAACCATCTAAAAAAATTATTACAAAAATTCGTGCTTAAACAGTAAATATTATGGCTTTACAAGCTGCAACAAAGTCGTCTATGCTCCTAGGGAGGTGTGTGCCTAGTCTAAAACAGAACGCATCTAAATTTAAAATCAAAAGATTGGAACTTGATACAAATTTGTTAATGGTAAGTATGTATTTAGTCTTTTCTGGTGGTTCTAATGGCTGATTTTTATAGTACTTTGGTAAAGAAGAATTTGTGTACGCGTATGACCCCAATAAAATATGCAAAACTGGTGATGTTGTTCTTATTGAGCAACTTCCAACGAGAATGACAAGGTTAATCACACATGCTGTTAAAAAAGTTGTGTATCCATTGGGAGACATAACTGATCCGATAACAGGAAAAAAGGTTGTTGCTGGAAAGTACAGAGATTTTGTTGAATCTGTAAATAAAGTGTATGGCGAAAAAGAAGGAGCATTTAAATATGATGAAGCGCCTCCAAGAGGTTGGCAAGAAGATAAAAAAGATTTCACTCATGTAGAAACATACATCAAGTACCACGAGTCAGGAAAAGACGATCCATATGCTGTGTAACGCCTAGTTTTGTTGTTTCAGTAGTTGTAATAAAAAATACATTGTCAACAGTCTTTATTTGAAAATCTGCACAGAATTCAATCGAAAATAGTTACATAAACGTTCTATATATAAATAAGAATCTTTCAGCGTGAAGTTATTAAATATTCAGGTAACAGATTTCATTGTTACTATTAATACTGCAAGTCTAAAAAAATAATCAATGGCTTAAAAACTTAACTCTAATTATTTGACAAGAATTCTCTTTCAAGGGCGGCACCCATCATATTCCACTCCCCATCGTCTACTTCGTCTGGAGCTTCTACACTTCCATCACTTTCTTGTGAATCAGGTTCCATATCTACTTCACTATCTACAGTCTCGCCTCGTCGAAATTTCACACTAGGCGTATCATCATCTTCTGTGCTATTGTTGAGATCATTTTCAGCTTCGTCTTCAACTTCTCTTTTTCTCTTGAAGCCTTTTGGATATTCACCTAGAGAATCTTCACTACTGCTACTATTTTCTTGTACTTCTTCAGAATTGACAACAGTTCCTTTCGCGTTCTTCTCTTCGTCACTAGTATCACTCTCGTCATCCAGAATATCTTCAACCTGTATATCAAATCATCAGCAACAACCTCAATATTAATTTCACTATACCTCTTTGTCCATATCTGCTATATCCGCGCTAGAAAATGACATGAGAGGATTAATCGTGTCCATAAACCTTCCACTGGGCGTCCTTTTTCGCATAGCGGGCGTGTTGTGCTCTGGATAACTTATAATATGCTCTGGACTGCTGCAATGCGGCGGCGGATGCCGGTTTTTTGACCCTTTACTATTCAAAGCAAAAATCTTCTCATCTACATGCTCCCATCGTTCAGCACAACACCACAGCCAATCAGGTGTAACAATCTTCAAATTCTTCTTTCTTCTACCGGCGTTAACCTTAGCAGTCCCTGGTCTAACAGCCACCAAATGTGTAGTCTCCTCCTCCAACTCTTGAGTAACCTCAGCACCCAAACTCTTAGCGATTTGATACGCTTTTGATTGCTCCAATTTGATGTGAGTCGGCACCAAGCCACTAAAAACCAATTTGCAACCCTGTAGCACCTGACTTCGGACCATGGGAATAACCTTCTTCAAGTCAGGAACCTCTCCTGATTCCATTTTGTCATAAGCGTCATAAAATGTCTGATGAATACGCTTTAGGATGTCTTCCAAATAGGAAAGGTAGTCATCAGGGTCTTCAACTTCTACTAAATGATTGTTTATTTCGATTGCATTTTTTGTTTCATGGGTTTTGGTGTCTTCCGTTGGCGTTTTGCTTTCTTCAGGTAATGGATTTTCGTCAATGGTTACCGTTTCGCCATTCACACCTTTACATTCACTTTCGTCAACATTTTCCATTTTTTGTTCGCTCACATCGGCACCTTTCTTGTTTTCATCCACGTTATTGTCCTCTTTTTCTTTACTACTTTCTTCCCTATCTTGAGTATTTTCTTTAGTTTCATTTTTTATACTGTCACTTTCGTTTACAACCTGATTCTCATCTTTGCTTTCACTATTTTTATCACTGTCATTTTCTGCTACTCTATTATCGTCGTTATTCAAAATTTGTTCGTCCTTTTTCAGGTCTTTGATTTTTGTTAAATCAACCCCAGCCTTGTTATCATTTTCGTGTTTGTCTAAGCCAGGAGGAGCGTTAATATCACCAGTATGTTGAAAAAAATGGTAGGGCTTGACGTGAATCAAATTTGCGGCGTTTGACCACACATCCTCTCTGTCGTCAATAATACACACCATGTTATCTCCACAAGGAAATAAAGCCCTAAATAAAAAAGTCATGTATTTACAGTAATTATTTGAATAATTAAATACCTACTTTAAATTCGCCTTTTTGCTGGTGGGGTCAAAGCACTCATCCCTCGAGAGAATGCGATTTGAGAAGAACTTCTGGTCTCTGTCCAGAACCGCCGCTATCATATGCGCATAATTCCTTGCACCAAAAGTGCAAATATGCAGTTCATAATATGGGTAAATATTATTCAAGAACTGATGGGTTCCAGGCCTCAATCGTGTGAAATACCAGGGTGAATTTGGACCATACAACTGAAAACGATAAATATCTTTGATGTTTGGTTGAATGTGGTCGTTAGTTGTGTGAATCAAAGTTTGGTCCAAGTCCACAAGTAGGACAAGTTTCCTGTCTCTAATGAGCCGCTCAACGTCCGCCTTGCCCAGTTTCTGTGCAAGCTGCAACAATGCAAGTCAAACCCCCACAGTGGCATTTTATAAACAAAACACCTCTTCACTGACTTTCAAGTCAGGTATAGCGTGCACCATGGGCACTGAAGCCGCGACACTGACATCGTTTTTCCTCAAATCGGTGCCGCATTCTGCGCACATATCATTCATCACCGTCGGATGAGTGCATTCTTTCAATTCGCATAAAGTCTCGCTGAAAATTCGAACACTAAGGTTCCGCGCGCTTTTTTAAAACTGTTGCTTACCCTGGCTTGACAATGGCGCCTTCCTGCGCCACAATCTTAAAAATTGTTCCGGCCTGTGTTACCTTCAACTTGCGTTGTTCCACCTTGGAACCCCCATCAAAATCATACAGAAGGATTACTCTTCCGATTGAAACAGTGTTCCCTTCGCTCACTTTCCATTTTAAAATTTTTATAGGTTTTGTTTGTTGCTGTGATATGCACATAGTTTTTTCCGCCATCTTGCACGGAAATAACTTCACTCATGAACGCAGAACGGGACCTGATTGGACGACGTATGCACTTCCGGGTGTCATCACTCATACCCGCCAATTTCGGATTTTAGGTAAACAAAAACAATCTGGCAATACAACTTATATTTGATTATATTACATGAAGCTTACATAAAAAATCTGACGTTTTACAATACAAATTTATTTAATGAGATAAACACTACATTTCTTAATTAAGTATAATAGACGCAATAAAACACAAAACACTATTATCACCAATAACAAAAATAAAGTTGATTTCAAAGTAAAATGTAATGCATCTGAAAAGGTTTCTCGTTTGGTACTCTATAAAATATGAAATCAAAACAATAAATATGTGACCTGTATTGGGACTAACTATACCACACTCTTAAAATAATCACAATAATAATATTTTCATTACATAAATTAGTGGGTACCAATATCATCACATGTAAAAATATTTTGAAAACTTTTTGTCTCTAATTGTTGTTGAACCATAGGGTAATGTGCAAGTTGCTAATTTGGAAGATATCAGATCATTAATTTATGTAATAAACCTGTGCAGTCACTTTCAATTCTTTAATAAGGGTTTCTCTCTTACACATAATGTAACCCTCAAGACAGATAAGCCATCTTAACAGCAACTCGAACCTTGAGAACCCCCAGCGCCACCTGCACCAGGAAGTGAAGGATTTGTAGGGGAATGTTGGGGGCCAATCTTGATACCATTTGCCTGAATAAACAATTAAAAATTGTCAATAAAAAACATAATAAAGGTTAATACGCAATACCACCAAACAAAGAAAATAGGGTAATGAACTTGGTAAATGTATAAAATTATTGATTTCAATCAAGACGTTTCTAAAGTTCATGTAACATTTAGAAAATGCCAATTTGAAAAGCATTTCGCTTAACAGAGCAGAACCACTAATTTACCTCATTATTAATGTCAAAAACTCCCTCTTGTATTTTCTCATATATCTCTTTTGCTGTATTTATAAAAGCTTCTTCAACATTGGCGGCCGTTTTTGCTGAAGTTTCCATAAAGACTAGTCCATGTTCTCTGGCAAAAGCTTCTCCTTCTTCTTTCTTTACTTCTCTCCTACTCTCTAAATCACTGGAAGAGTTCATTCAACAATTTTGATAAAAAAAAACAATTAGATGAAGACCTTTTGTTTCCAATCAACATGATGACCATATTTGAGTTGGAATGCTGACGAGCATCATCAAGCCATGTAGTCAGATGGTTGAAAGTCTCCCTCCTTGTAATGTCATAAACTAAAAGAGCGCCAGCAGCTCCACGATAGTAAGACCGCGTTATAGATCTAAAAGCTTCCTGTCCTGCAGTGTCCCAAATTTGCAATTTTATTTGTTTGCCATCAATTGTGATCATTCGAGCGCCAAATTCCACCCCAATTGTCAAATCATGAACTGGCTGGAATCTCTTGTCTGTGAACTGGAGTAACAAGCATGACTTGCCCACACCTGTAACCCCCATTGTTTACTTTGCGACTGATAAGCATATCAATCTGATTTAAATGAATGCCAAACACACTTCACATCCCCCTAAACCAAAAATAATCGAAATTGTCGAAAATACAAATCTTGGACAAGTTTAAAAACACAAAGACAGACCTTGACACCTATCCAAGATGAATAATACAAACTAGTTAGACGCAAAATATAAGAAAATCAACAGAATCGATTATGATTTTTACGGGAGCAACTCGGATGAAACACCCACCTGTGTCACCTATTATAATGTATTTGAACAGATACGCGTACGACATTTTCGTCACACAAAACTAAAAACTTGTTCTAATAATTTCACGGCTTATCACCGAATATATCAACTTCGTAAAAAGATGACAGCTGTCTGCTGAATGTCATTCCCTGAAGTTGCGCATCAACTTTTTGCGCAGCGAACAAAGCCGCCTCCGCATTGGTCAATAAAATGGAAATTTGAAATTATTGCTCTCTAAATAATAATAAAATAAACCTCAGGCCAATAAAACACTCATTTAAAATTGGACCGGTGTGTTTTTCTTATTTTATGTAAGTCATTTGGGAGAAATAAAGCGATTCCCGTGTCAAGATTTTCTAAAAATAATTGAAATGTTGGCGAATGTCCGCCTATTGCTAAAAAATAGGAATTATGGGTTTAAAATGAAAGCAAAAAAAGGTCATAGTCATTTAAAGTTTGCTAATATTCACATTCGTGTACAAAAATCATGTGCGATGAACCAAATCCACCAGAACTTGGGAACCATTAAATTAATTTGACAGTTTTATTTACAATATGTGATATAATGTAATCTTATTTTTTCTTTCCTTTCTTGGAACCACTAGAGGTCCCTTCAGTACCATCTCTAGCTGGTTGCCAATTTAGCGGTTTTCTGCGATACATAGGCCATGGAGGAATTGTCAACTGCAACATTTACATTATTGGAGTTTATTCAAAATTTCAATCGTCAAACACCCACCAAAGCAGCTAAAACAAAACCAGCGCCCAAAATGTAAACAGTTTGTGAAAATTGTTGAATAATGTAACCCCATACTAATCCAACAGCACCAAAAAGTGTTATAATAACGCGCGACAATTTTTCAGCCGTGGCTTGGCCCTCAAAGTCCTAAAAGAATTGTGAAATATTAAAAACATTAAAAAAGCAAAACATTTACCATGTGTGTGGGAATTGACTGTACAAAATTCATTGTAATTGGTTTTCGAATAAGTTACAAACTATTCTGCACAAATAATAATGTGTTGTTTGTCCACAAGGAAATATTTTTTTTTTCTTAGGAATAATCGGAAAAATTCAACAATCCTCTTTTAGAAACACACGTCAACAAACTTGTCGATTTTCTAACATTGGTACCAATCTAAGATGGCAATTCCACTAATTTGACACAACTGTGAAATCTGGTGGAATTTTCATCAAAAGTTGGTACATAAAAGAAAAATCTTTGGTGTCATACTGGTTGCATAACAAATTTCCACTGCTAGTGTGGATTATCCTTAAATATTAGATTTTTTTCTTTTTATAAATAAAATCATCAAAAATGTGGTTGGAAGAAGCTGAGGAATTGTTTAAAGGATATTTACCGTATTACGTTTTGATAGTTTTACCTATTTTTATCATAATATCACCTGCTAACCCCGTATTAGCCTCACACGAGTTTCCCGTATACAGGATGCAACATTTCGATTTACACGGAATGGCACACGGTAATTCACTGTTTTGCTACAATTACTTCTTAATTACTTGACCACAAAGTGGTAGTGTGAGGTTATGTCAACAATTTTTCCAGGTTCAAGAAGTGCAGCAGTGAATCTAGAGGCGAGGTCCCTGACGGGGTGGAGCACTTCTCGCCATTGTGTTATAGTGAAGCTCCAAGATTTGACAATAGATCACTTTCGAAATATTAGAACCAAAGCAGGTGCTTTGTTGGTCGTGTTGCCAAATGATTTTTCTGCGCTTAATTCTGATGAAAAACAACACCTTCTTCTGCTTGAACATGCCATGTTGGCTCAAGAAATATCAGTACCTGTGTATTTTGCCATTTGGACTGCTGAATTGGAGACTATTGTAGATGAAGTGTCTCAAAATGTAGCAACAAACGATTTAACCAAATCTGCAGCTGAGGCGATGTTTAGTTCAGTCGCTGCAAATGGGTACCAGTTTGTTGTTTCCCCTGGGACCACAAGTGTTAAACAAGACGTTAAGGTTGCAACAATCCAAGGACACCTCTCTGGTTACAGCCAAGAGGGCAAAGTACCAACTCTGGCTGTGGTTGCCCATTATGACAGCTTTGGAGTTGCTCCTGTGAGTTTCCGGTTGCAATACTTCATACAAAATTTACATTCTCTTTTCAGAATTTATCATTTGGGGCTGATTCTAATGGTTCAGGAGTTGTAATTTTGTTAGAATTGGCAAGATTATTCTCAAACTTGTATTCAGATCCTAAAACTCGCGGAAAATATAATTTAGTTTTTCTGCTCACTGGTGGTGGAAAAATAAATTATCAAGGGAGCAAAAAATGGCTTGAGGACCAACTTGACTCTTTAGATGGCTCCATCATTCAAGTCAGTTTAGTTTTTTTTGCAAATTCTGTAAATGACTGTTGATTTCAGGACGCTTCATTTGTTATGTGTTTAGATACTCTTGCGTCAGGGGACTCACTGTATATGCACGTCTCTAAACCTCCCAAAGATGGCTCTCCTGCATCTTTATTTTTCAAAGAATTGAAAGCAGCAGCTGATCAATTTCCAACTACAACTGTAGACGGTGTTCACAAAAAAATTAACCTAGCTGATGATATTTTAGCCTGGGAGCATGAGAGATACAGTATTAGGAGACTACCAGCTTTTACACTTTCCACATTAAAGAGCCATAGAGAGTTAACAAGGGGAACAATTTTAGATACACGAAAAAACCTAAATCTTGAGAAACTGAACCAAAATGCAAAAGTTATTGCTGAGGCTTTGGCGAACTTCGTTTATAATACTTCACTAAGTGAGATTTTTGGTGGTTCTTTGGTGGGTTTATAATTCTGTTGTATCAAATAATTCTGTTATTTTAATTAGGACGTGGATAAGAATTACTTAGAAGCATGGATAAATTACTTAACTTCACAGCCAAGGGCCACTCAACTTCTAAGCAACAAAGATAATGCTCTAGTCACGTTTTTAAAAGATGATTTTAACAAATATCTCAGAGATGTTAAAGTGTCTTATGCAGTTCCTGATAAGAGAGACCCAGATTTTCTTTTTTATGATGTCACCAAAGGTGTAATTAATGTTTACAGGTAAATTCTTTAATTATTAATAGTATTTAATTTAATTAATTATCTTTCCAGTGTTAAACCAGCAATATTTGATCTCGTCTTAACTTTTGCAATAATCCTTTATTTAGGGACTATCTACCTGTTTGTACAAAAATTCCCAGCTTTGTACTCCACAGCCTGTTCTTTAACCTCCAATAAACCAAAACAAAATTAACAAGTTGCCAAATTACTTGTAACTGTAGGTATCCAAAAAATGTATTAATAATGTTGTATTATTTCTGTTGTTACATAATATAAGAGTTTACAATAAATTCAATTGGAAATACCCATTTTATTTTTCCAGTCAGTGAAAAAGTCTACTCATGCGTTAAAGTTGATAACGAAATAAAATTAAATAGACCTTGATGTTTGTATAATGTAACTATATAATTACATCAGTTTAAAGGCAGTTTTGTGATATGATAAACGTATTCTAACCTAACCTTTGTATATCGTCACACCACAATCAAATGTACTAAAAAAGTTGCTTATCATCGTTCACGGTTTTCTGAAAACAAAATATTCGTTGGAGAAAATGGCAAAAAAACGTATTTTCACTTATGAAACACTAGTGCATGCCACTGCGGGGGCTGCAGTAAGTTGATCCACAAATAAAATAAAACACATACTTAAACCTATTTAAATATTTTTAGGGCAGCATTGTAGCAAGTTCTGTTATGTATCCCTTAGATAATGTTAAATTTCGAATGCAGTGTAAGTTTTTTTAGACAATTATTGTAGAGTGAATGATTTTTTGTATCCTTTTTTAGTAGAAGACAGTTCATTAGCTGGGAAAACAGCACTCCAAGCGCTATTTTATCTTTTAAAGAAAGAAGGACTGTAAGTGCTTCAATTAACTGCGTCATAGTTTAATTAATTTGATTCTAGTGAAGGTCTATATCGCGGAATTAAGCCCCAATTGACCACATTAGGCATCTCCAATTTTATCTATTTTTACACCTTTCACGGTCTCAAATCTCTGAGACTAAACAACTGCAAAAACCCCACACAAACCGACTTAATATTGAGTATTATAGCAGGAGTCATTAACGTGATCACAACAAACCCTTTGTGGGTGGTGAACAGTAGATTGAAATTTAGTAGAGAATTGTATTTTAATGGCCTTCTGGATGGCATTGTCCACATTGCTGACACAGAAGGAGTTAAGGCTCTGTGGTCAAGTTTAGGACCATCTTTAATGCTGGTTTCAAACCCTGCAATCAATTTTACTGTATACGAAGCTTTAAAACGCAGAACATCATCAAGAACTGCACTTGCATTTTTCATAATGGGTGCGATTTCTAAAGCAGTTTCAACAATAGCAACCTATCCACTTCAAGTGGCTCAGACTCGCCAAAGGTATAACAGAGATGCCAAAATGAACACAGCTGCTTTGCTTCTGGACATGGTGAAGAAGAGTGGACCTGGTGCCTTATTCCAAGGACTCGAAGCCAAATTATTGCAAACGATACTTGCGTCAGCTTTAATGTTTATGACCTATGAAAAAATTGCTCAATTCGTTTTTGCATTATTAATGAATAAGAAAACTTTAACACAGTGACTTTATAAACATATGAGTGTTAACTCTGTGATATTCTATAAAAATCTTTTACAACAGTTATAGACCAAAATTAGGTGTCAGGGATCTAGTCTAATTTTTACAAAATTATTATGGAATAAAACTGTTAATAATAATACAGGTGTTTTATTTCACTGTTTGATTTTACCGGTGTTTTACTAGAATGCTATTGGTCACTTGAAAGTCAATCCTTATTGGTATTGGCTACAGCGATTCACTTTTAGGGCTTTTTGTTGGCTCCTTTCCTTGTTTGGCCAACCTGTTTATGTAGTGAATGTTGATTGTTGACAGAATAATAATGTCAGTTCAACCGCTTCAATTTGTATTTTTACATTTTATCGTGGAAAAAACGTGAAAAATTGTTTAAAAATTACATTACCGTTGCGTAACCGTAGTGTCAAAGTAATAATTACTATTGTTTCACTGCCACTTGATTGTGAAAATTGTTGAAAGTGGTGGCAGTACATTTGTCTTATGCATTTCATCTTCTAGCTTCAATATTGAAACGAATTTTAAACGTTTCTCAAACCAATGGAAGTAAAATTTCTTTTATTTATAAAGTAGCATACATGCAAATGTAAAAACAGAAAGATGGTAAGTGTCAAAAAATTCTTTTGTTGCTTGTGACAATTTGTCTATTATTCAGCAGGTAGACGATCCGCCGTACTTATCTGTTGGAACTGCAGTCAGTGCCAAGTATAAAGGGGCATTTTGCGAAGCCAAAGTCAGCAAAGTTGTCCGCATTGTAAAATGTAAAGTAACATACAAAATGGGGCTCGGCACGGCTACAGTCAGTGATGAACAAATAAAAGGCCCCCTTAGGGTTGGCCACACGGTGCAAGCCAAGCATGCAGAACGCAAGGAGTTTGTTGAAGCCACAATTGGAAAAATTCAAGATTGCAGCCAATATACAGTTGGTAAGTCTTGTGAAACTGAAATTAAAAAAAGTTAATATGTAAATATTTGTAGTATTTGATGATGGAGATATCACCACCTTGAGGCGATCAGCCCTCTGTTTAAAAAGCGGAAGGCACTTTAATGAAAGTGAGACTTTAGATCAGTTACCCTTGACTCATCCAGAACATTTTGGCAATCCAGTTGTAGGTGGCAGAAGGGGCAGAAGAAATAGACAGTTAAAGTATGTCTAAATGTTTACTACAAAACATACATAACTTTTTTATTAGGGAGGATAGCAGTGAAGGGGAAGCGGAAGAAGAAAATGAACCTGATTTAGAGGGCTATTCTACGGATATAGGGCGGGTTGTAAGCGTTGAAGCCACTGATAAGAAAAGAGGGAAGGATAACTGGTTTCCAGGCCTTGTAGTTATTCCTTCAGCACAACCAACAGTCAGAATTAATGTTAAAGATGAATATTTGGTTCGATCTTTTAAGGATGGGCGATAGTAAGTTTATTTGAATTTAAAAGTTTTCTATATTTGTTAATAATAAAATTGTAGCTATACTGTACCTAAAAAAGAAGTCTCGGAATTTAATAGAGAAATGGGAGAGAAAGTTGAAAGTTCTGTATTGGCTGAAGCCGTTAGTAAAGCACTTAAATATCTCGATCACAATGAATTACCAGTGCATTGGGAAAGAAATTCATTATTTAACATGCAATCTATTGATAGCGACTCGGAGGAAAATTACAGTGATGTAATAACTTTTTCGTGTTTATCTTGATTTCTTATGTAAATGTTTCAGTCTTCTGATGATGAGCCTAATGAAGAAAAAGACAGGTTTGTTGCCCAACTGTACAAATTTATGGACGACTCTGGTACCCCACTCAACAAAAGTCCCATGATTGCAAATAAAGATGTGGATTTACACAAACTATTCAGGGTTGTTCATAAACTAGGAGGTTACAATAGAGTAACCAACCAGAATAAATGGCGATCGGTAACAACACGATTAAAATTACCAAACAACCAAATTACTTATAATCAAGTCAAGAGCGTTTATAAAAAGTGTCTCTTAAGTTATGAATCATTTTATAAAACTCTAGGTGTGACTATGTTAAATCATAACTTGTCTACTAAGAAAAATCGGGGAAGGTCGTTGATAAGAGATAGGGATCGAGCAACGCCTGTTAATAGTCCAAAACCGGAAAAAGACGAAGATGAGAGGAAAGAAGATGAGAAAAGTGGGTCCGATGATAAGATGAAAAAGAAAACGGAGTTTAAGAAAGACGATGAAAAGAAGAGGAAAGAAGTTGTTGAAAATAGCGATACTAATAGCAGTGATGCTACTGACCAGTCTGAATCAGCTCCAGGTTCTTCAAAGGATGGTGGAAGACCCCGACGTTTAGATAAGTCTAAAGAGAAGAAAATCAAACAAATCATTGCAAATGAAAAAGCTAAAACAGTGGAAATCACGAAGAAAGAGGATGAGGAAAAGGTAACTAATCAACTAAAAATAAATAAATTTAAATTTTCTTACATTATTTTTCAATAGTTGATAATAATTAATTGACATTATAGAATATTTGGTTTTATTTCAATAGATGCAACAAACACGATCAAAATCTCAGACTGTGAAACCTAAAGATGTGGCAAACAATTTTAGTCAGAAGAAAGACATTAAACCGGGGGAAACGCCAAATAAGCCGCCGCAGAAACCCAGCGCTAAGAAAAGCGACGATGAGAAGAAACGCGGCCGAAAGAAGAACAATCCGGATGAGAAATCATCGGGTGTTGAAATCGTCACTGACGTTGCCTCTGGACAGACGATAAGTGTTGGCGATAAATTAAAAGTGTATTATGGACCAACACACGAATATAAAGTCACTTATGAGGCTAAAGTCAGAGAAATAGATCGAGATTCGACCGGTATGGTTTATCTCGTACATTACACTGGCTGGAATACAAGATACGATGAGTGGATTTCGCCTAGTCGTATCGCTGAAAACCTCAGTGCCAACACGAAGGCCAAAAGGTTGAAACAGAGCAATGCTGCCAACTCTGTGGGAAGTACAAAGCAATGTGCAAATAAAACAGCTCCTGGGAAACGTGGCCGAGGGGCGTCAGTGACCACCAAAAGTAGTTCTACGGAACCTCCGAGGTCTACGACGCCATCTAGCGTTACATCTTCCTCAAGTCGGACAAAAAGTCCAGCGACTCCGGCCACCAGATCGAGTAGTCGAATGACTCGATTAGGTATAATTTTTGCTTTTTGTGTTTTTTTTTTTGTTAAATGTTTCGTTTTTTAGATTACGGCCGAAAAACTCGTCGAGCTTCTGCTCAGACTGACATTTCGAATCATTCTGAGTCCGATTCGGATATATCCGAAAGTGAAGCCGAATTAACACGAACGAGGAGCGGGAATAAATCCGAAGATATCGAAATAAAGACTTACAAGAAAAAAGTATCAAGGACTCCAACAGTTACAAAATCGGAAAAAAATAAAGAAGATGGGGACACGGAAAAAGACGACGAGTCTGACAGACCGAAAAGAGCTAGAAAATTGAAGAAATCGCCAGAAAAATCGGGAGAAGAAAGCGATGAAGATACTGGTTCTAGTCTTCCCAAAGGAAGAGATTTTGATCTTAATCAAATCAGATCTGAACTGAAAGGTTTCAACAAAGCAGTTAAAGTTCCATCATTGGATACTACTGAGAAGGAACTTTTATCCTCATCAGATGATTCAAATACTCAAACTTGTACAAAATCAGAACCAGCTGAAGAGAAAAAGGAAATCAAAGTTGAAACTTCACCGACTTCTGACGATATTTACGAATTCAAAGAACCAGAACCATTCGAATTTGAATCACGTGCCAAGATGGTAGATGACAAGACTTCAAAGAAACGAATACCTAGACTTTACGAGGATCTGGAGAAAAGTCCAAAGAAGAAAATTATGAGATCTCCCGGAAAATCAGATAAGGATAGTCCCGAACTAGAGAAGAAAAGGTTTAGAAGAACTCCAGTTCGGAAACAGGATGAATCGGAAGATGATGAGAAGAAAGATGAAGATGATCCGTTTGATAAACTAGTTGAATCGCCTTGCTTTAACTTAAAACCAATGGAAAAAGTGGCCGAGAGTAAAGAAAAAATATTAAAAGAAGAGTCACTGACTTTGTTTAGAGATGAGTTTAGTAGAGACATTGATTTATCTGATAGCGAATCGCAGAGTCAACCGATTTTCTCACATGACGATGAGCTTTTCTCGGGGACTTTCTCGAAATATTCGCCAGATAGGAACACCCTAGATCTTGAATTTTCAAGTAAAATTGACGATATTAAGAAAGACAGTGATGATTTAGAATCGATTAGAGAATCAATCACCAGAAAAATAGAAAGAACTCCTTCTAGTGACGAATGTGATAATTTGAGCGATGACGAGGATTTGGTTATTACGACTTCGGCAGCGACTTATCAATCTAAGAAACGAGAATCTGATACCACTTCTGGGGTTTTGGAAGATAAGACGACGTCCGAGATATCCATTCAGGAAAATACTGATGTTAAAATGGAAGTCAAGGAAGAACCGGTGCTTAAAAGTCCTACTATGCTTATATCTCCTGCTCTTCAAGAGACTGATAGTTCTTTATTGGAATCGATTTGTTCCCAACCTTTGTCAATTACCGCAAAACTGGAGGAAACTAAAGATTTCAACCTCAAAACTGGAACAAAAATCGCAGATTCGTTACTGCAGAAATTAAGTTCGATCAAGAAGAACGACTCAGACAGTGAAGATAAAAAGAAAGACATTGAGAATGAAGCAGATGCGGAGGATAACGTAAAGTTGATTGATGTTTCCAGAATGATAAAACAGGTCGAATTGAAGGTTAAACCTTCCGAAACCGATGTTAAACCATTGTCAGTTCCTACAAAACCGGAAAAGAAGCGCAAAATTCTCAATAGGAATTATAGAGAAGACTCAGATTCTAATAGTAGCGATTCGGAACAACTTGTCATCGCGAGATCTGACGATGACTCTCAAACCAATTTTGATAAACCAGACAAAGAAAGCGACAGTAACATGTCTATTGCTCACATTGCAACCACTGACGATTCTCAATCGCAAGGAGAACAACGAAATTTTAAATTCGACGCGTTGAAGAAATCGTCAAGTCCGGAAGTAGTCAAAGAGGAGCAACCGGAAGCTGAGAATGTCAAAGAAGAAGAACCCGATTCTCAATTACATTCATTGCTTCTATGTGAAGAAACTATACCGAGAAGCCCGGCTCCGGCTTCAGAAGGATCAAGTGTGGTCGAGCCAAGGCCAAAGGCCAAGTCGATGTTGGAAATGCCATTTGCTAGTGCCCCCGGAAATTGTAACAATAAAAATATGTTGTTGAATAATGAACATAAGGGGGTGAATAAGCCACAGCCACAACCGTTAGTTTTGCCTTTGGGGGGTAGGGAAAATCGGGATGTTTCGAATGTTATTACCCCACCTTCGACTCCCGGAAGTTCGACTAGTGGGTAGGTTCTTCTCTCTTTATTGTATCGGTGAGAATTAAATTTTGAATTTTGTATTGTAGTGACCATGGGGAGTTGTCTCCTAACACGATAGAAAACGAAAGTTGCAAATCCAACGATGCTGAATTGGAGTATCCCAGAAAACGAAGAAATTCTTCATTGAATAAAGCCCCTTTGTATAGCGAAGACGGTAAATCATGTTGTTTGAAATTTGTGGTATTTTTTAACAATGTTTCTTTAGATACTCAAATGACAAACGAAGCTCCTAGTGGGAAGAAATCTCGCGAGGAATCAGTACCTGCCTCTTGTCGAAAACGCCGAAAATCAGCGAGAGGTGGAGATGAAGTACCGACAAAACGCGGCCGAAAACCCCAAAATAGGTCACGGCATAACAGCGATAGCGACGATACTTCCGAACATTCGTTGATTGGTTCAACATCGAATTTAGGTTTGTCGTACGATAGGACGTCGAAATCGCCGCGACCTTCGAAATACAACTTTTTCGTTGAATTTGGTAACAATTATTTTCACTTCTTGGGGAGTTTGAATTCACTGTCGTTTGGTTTTACAGATCCTAGTTTAAACAGTGGCCAAAGAATTGCCGTTTTGCAACAGAAATTGTCAGAACTTCGTAAAACTTACGCCGAAGTTAAAGCTGAGTTAGCAGCAGTTGAAAGGCGAAGGAAAAAAATTAGACGAAGGGAACGTGAAGGTAAGTCTCGTTGAATGAGAAAAAAGCTGACAATGAGATGAATTACAATGTAGCTTTAATTTTTAAACCTTGTGTAAGCAACTGCAATTATTTTTAACATTTGAAAAACCTGAAAAAAATTTAAAATTCACTATTTTGATAAAGCTTTATTAAAATTGTTAAATAAAATGGTTCTATTGAAAATAATAAGTATGTTTATTGTAATATGGTGATTTTAGTAAGCTAATTGGGGTAAGTATGAAATGTTTTTCAAATATTTTTTGTTTGCAAAAGATTCGTAGACAGAAAGTTGATGTTTTATTTAGTTCTTAAATTAAATGTTTTTTTAACAATATCTCATACTTGAGCATACTAATTTAACTTTAGAAAAAAAACTTCGTTTTTCAGTGGATATGGATAAGAAAAGAAGTAAATTTTAAAGATAAATTGAGAAATTTTAGTTTGGCAGGCCTTATTTATTAGCTTAATCCCAAAGTAAAAGTATTTTAGCATTCTTGTATAATTCTTCAAATGAAAAGAACAAGAATCCACAATAATACATCTCTAGCCAATATAAACAATTTTGCAACATTTTTTTTTCTCGAGATAATAGGTAGATTATTTTATTTCCAGTGATTACTTTAGCAATTCAAGATTTTTGTTGATTTAAGAAAATCCGCATTTGTTTTATATATTTTTATACATAAATTGGCTAAATTAATCACTAAAGTCCAATACCAATTTACATTATTGCTATTTTCTTAAACAATTTTAGCCCTGAAAGCTTCAAAACAAGAAATGGTTTGTGGTTGATCGATCCAAACTGTACCAGTGCTCTTCCATTGTTAATTTTCTTGAAGAAATATCTTTGTAAAATATTTTTAGTCTAGTAAGATATTTTATAAATTAATGTTATGTCATTGTCTACAATTTTTTGTACACATGTTTGTTGTCATTTTTCTTTAAGATATGTTTGTATAGAATCTGTTAGTTAACTAAGGATTTAAAATAATGTAATATTTTTAATCGATCTCGAGGGTACTTTTATTATTGATTTTCAGAATTTCATTATATTACAGATAAATGATTCTTTAGAAATTATTTGTCTTGAGATAAAATAAATTTAGTAGCAACATTTTTTGTAAATATTGTTATGTACAAGTTGGAAAAGTTGTGTACTAACTTATAACAATAAGGAATTAAATTCGAAATGTAATTAATATGGTCGTTGCTTACGTATTTAATTTACTTATGTTAGATACTTTTTTTTAAGTTTCACTAACAAAATATTGTAAATTAGATATGTGCGGCTCTCACCGTGGCAATACTTTTATATATGATTTTATTTATTTAGAATAAATAGAAGAAACATTTTTTTATTTACTCATTCAAAATTAAAACTTCTAAATGCATCCGATGCGGAAGGTGAGTAATGAAAATTAGGTAAGTTTAATCTATTATTTATTTCATTGTCTTCGATCACAAGCGAGCGCGTATCTTTTGTTAAAAAGTTACCTCGTCTTGCGCGTTGGCGATAATAGATATTTCAATGTTAGGCAAGTCTAGGACGGATATTTAGGCTGGTAAAAACCCAAAGACTTCTCCGTACCGTTAGCCATTGCCTCGTCACCACAGTAGAAAGCTAAGCAACAACCAACACACGGTCAATCTTCACATTCCTCTTGTATTACAGCCATCCGGCCATCTAGCGTTCCCATTAGGCGCTTGGGACGAAAGGGGCTGCAAAATACCGATTTCAAACCGGGAAAAAAGAAATTTAACTTGTTATGACACGTGAAGGCCCTTTGTTTTTGCACTGTATTTGTACTTTTTGAGCCACAGGCCGCATACCTATATTTTTGGATTATCGATTTGAACTAAGTGGAAAATTTCGAGGGAACAACCGGGAACGGTAGCAATGTATTGAAATAAAAGTACAGATATGTAGTTGTAAACTTGTAATGTTTGTGTTAAATTATATTAAGAAAAAAGAGAAAAGTGTTGTTTGTTGTTTGAACAATGATGAGAATTTAATTTTCATTTATGAATCAGCAACGTTTTTCCCACAATCCTTAATAGCAAGGCAGCGACTCGAGATTTATCCCATTTGGAAAAGATATTCTACGCCCCAAGAAAAAAATCCATTCGAACAAAAACGTCCCAAGTTAAAATGAATTACGTAAATCAAATAAAATGTCATAGTCGAAAATTACATTCTAGATATAAAAATACTTCTACCCCCTAATACTCATGAACAAATCAAAGAAGTTGCGTTTGCGCTGTTGGATTTTTAGAAAAAACACTTAACTGGTCCACTGGTGTGCTGGCCAACTGGATTCCCTGCTTCACAATGTGACCGGGGCTATAGTGCATCCTTGTCTACCCGACACATTATTCTATTCTCCTCTCTCTTTCCTGACGTCAGCCATAGATGTGAAGGGACCGAGTACAAAAATAGCTCCTATCGCTCAAACGCGGGATGGGGACTAGTAGCCGATTACTGCCATAAAAACGGTCATAATGTTCCAAACGAATATCGAAAGCGCTACCAAAATCCTCAACTATGGTAATTCTTTTATTGCAGCTCTATTTAATTGCGTTTTTATCTCAAATCAAGCGATTAAGCTCAATATACGCCATCTCTAAGGTGGTGCACAATCTCTCAACGTTTCGTCTTTGTTGCCTTCAGTTTGTTTTATTGGAACTTCACATTTTATATGTATAGCTCCATAGAGTTGATTGATATTCTTCTGATAATGTTCATATCTACTATTTGAAATATATAAAATGTGCAGTTTTTTTTGTGAATTTCCTGAGATTTGTCACAAAATTCGTCGCTATAACAGTTTGTTTCTTTTATGTAGAGTTTAAAAAAGTGACCTTAAAAATGTATTTGCGACGTTGCCATTTTCTCTACAGACTGAATTGATTTGGTTGAAGAAACATTTGTGCACAAAACGTTTTTCTTTGCATTTTCAACTGGTAATAAAAAAGCGAAGCTATAAGGTTGTGATGTTTTTAATAGCACACCTTTGTGTCTTAGGAAAGTTGTCGCCCGTTTTGTGAGATAGATTGACATGTTGCGTGTGGTTCCCCGACGTGTCAGCAAATTTTTGCTCATGTCATGGGCATTGCTGGTTGTTTACTTGTTTCGGCTGCTAGTCCCCATGACAACAGAAGTCTGCCTTGGTGTGCAAGCGAGCAGCCGGTTGTATGGCTGTCTCTTCCTCTCCCACGATATCAGGCAACTGTTGTTATTCAGCCAACCGTCCTCCATCTCTCTTTCTGTTTACTGCTATCCGTGCTCTACAATTTCATATAAAAGAAGAAACCAGCAACAAAAAGTTACCACCGTACAAAACAATGCACGGAAAGCACCGATAACACTCGATTATCCCTGGCGCCAAATTATGGAAAATGATTAGAAATGTTTTCGCAAATTTTCAGCACTTTCAGCAAAAAATGCGTTTTTGGAAGGGAAAAGAGGAATTGTCGCGTTTGGCTGTAATGAGTTTGTCGGCTGTCTTTAAAGCCGCTGTGTTATTATATTTTTAGTAAATTAATTCTACGAAATGTTTGCTGTAGACATGCGCCTGACGTCAGTTATTCGAAAGTCGCAACGTTGAAAATAAAATCAGCAAGATTTTATTTACTACAACATAATTAAAATTGTTATAATTTTTTAGACACAAAACTATTTAAACGAAGTTTCAAGCTTGAGACGATCTTTTTTTTCACAAAATTTAATTACATTGTTAAAGACACATGCTATCATTTCTGTGCATGGATATTAGCACAACATTTCAAATTGAAACAGGAAAATTAGCTCATGAACGCGGCAGCGGACGTGCTGCCCTCTCTCAAGCACTTTTTGCACTCGCTGTTATATTTTCCACATGAGTATTACAATAAATTATTTTCTTGCACACATTTCGAAAAAATTTCATTCTGAAACCCTGAAATTAATTTTAAATGAAACCGCTGTATTGCTCGCTCGATTGTGAACCCTTAATGATGCAAAACAAAAAAACTCTGTTTCAGTTTTATCGATTCTTGTTCTGTTTTGTTCTACAAAACCATATCATATACGAGGATAATCGAAATATTTTTGGTTTGTCGTACTATATTCGGAAAATTTTAAGTAAAGGCACGCATACACGTTTCGCTCTGGTGACTGCAGCGAGTTCTCCTTGGCTGCTTTTGGTTTCCAGCGTCTTGTAATCGGTGGTAACTTTTTAATTTCTACTAAGGAGGAAGGAAAGGAGGTATTTTCTGAATCGGAGAAAGAACAGTTTAGAAAAAATGTGTGGAAGACAACGGACCGGGAATATAACTGTTTGATTTTATTCTCGATGCTAATGACTACTCATCCCAAGCGAATACGCAGTTTTTTGAACTTCCGCAGCCTCACTTTCTAACAGATTCATTCTGATTCGTTGTGCCATATTTTCATTATGGTTTTATATTTTTTGTTTCATTTCAATTTCGCAAAAATATTACGAAATGTCGAGCGATCACTGAACCTGGCGATAACAAAAATCTAAGCAAAGGCTATCTTTTAACAAATAAAACAGGTATTAAATAAACATTAGCTACAAACTGATCTCGGAACAAAAATACTTTTTGATGTAATCGACCAAATACAAGTTTTACTTTACTTTAAAAAATGTTATACAATGTTTTGGTCGCTTATTTAACAAGAATAAACCTTAGAAAAGTTAAATCCGAAAAAAAAGATTATATGATTTTCTATAAAAGCATAGTCAGAACCGACTATGTTTTCAATTTTTTTTTTGGATTTGCCATTCATTTAAGCTTTGTTAATAAAGTGAAGAAAAAATTTCTGTGAATACTTAGGTGCATGGTAAATTACTCAAGTTGACAATACTATGTGGGTATAGGTGTCACCACATTCAAAGCTAAGGGTCAGAAAGATTATACACTTACAGTTTTGTTAAATGATTTAAATTTAGCTGCTTAATATTCTGATTTAATTGAACAATTATACTTCGAAATGATCCGAAATAACGAAGATAGACGACATTGCATAGGTCTATTATTAGATTATTACTTTTGGAACTCATTTTAAGACTGCTCAATGTAGTTTTTTGGGGATTTTTCAATAACTTTTGAATATGTAATAATTTTCCTACACTAAAGATAAGTATATAATTATGAGGTTGCGACTAAAGTCTCAGTTTACTCTCTTTTCGAATTTATTTTTTAGAAGTGGAGAAGTAAGTCATAGAAGTCAAAGCTAACGACGTGTTTCATATTCTTATCCTAGTTCTTGTGAAGAAAATTTTAAATGTGTACATACATTATATCAAGAAAGTATAATGAAGTTCCAAAACGATTAAAATATTGTGTTTGGTATTTGCGAAAAATATTCTAGAAATAGTTACGTAGTGATACAACCAAAAAAACTAATTACATAATAATGATAACTAATGTCGAGAAGTGGAGGTTTACTTTAAAAAGTTAGTTTGTTGTTGATTAATGATGTGAGTGAGCAAATAATCAGAATTCATTCTGTAAAAACTGAAAATGAAAGTTTTTTCTATGGATTTCGATATGAGAGCACGTGCGGTTTTATTATATTTTTAATTATGGTTAATATGGTTAATTATGGTTTTATTCTGAGACTCGAACCTCTAACTGCATCTAAAAAGCCCGACTTCTGAAAAAAAAAATATTTAAGTTTCTGGTTGCATATGCAAATACTTAAATCTCAAACATAGTTTCGACTAAAGAAGTTTTTTTAAGCAATGAAGGAATTTATTTTGCTCATCTTTTACTTACTCATAGCAGAAAAAAACTACATCTTTTTGCAAAATTTATTGTTTTAAATATACCACCTTGAAGATGATTTATCTCGACATAAATTTTTATCCATTTGTTGCTTTATAAAGTCATTAAAACACACCTGCTCTATATCTGTTTAATTTTCAGCTGCACAAGGACTTAACATTTCATTTAATTGTTCGTACTAATTTTTAACATTCAAGAGGAACAAAATAGCACTTAGTTGAGTGTTGCATATCTCCTCCTATCAAGATGTAACAACGAAGTTATAATAACATTCAACGTGCGTCGAGCAGTGGTGGCGCAATTTTTATTTAAACCAGAATAAAACAATCGAAAAAGAATCTGTTGATGATGAGTAAATGCTCCAGCACTTTTTTAAAATTGTTTCTTATTTTATCGTAATGTAGCGTTTCTACAGGGTAATTCAAAAGTGTCGGGCCAACTATCGAATGGTGTTAGAAGACTTTCAGCTAAGGATAAAAATGAATGCAGGTTTTTTGAAAAAAAATTTGTTAAATGTTTTGTACAACAGAGAACACCATAAGACACAAATTAAGGATTTTTT